ATATTTTTTACATTTTAAACTTGTCAGAAATCTTTTTAATTATTGATAAATTCATATGTTAAAGAAATGTGCATTATTTTTGGGATGCCCTAATTTCTTCTTCAGTCTGCTTCTTTGCACATAGGGCTTCATCCGGAAGCAGTTGTCAAGACTTATTTAATGGATCCTGTCTCCAACTGTCCACTGTTGAATGTACTCACTTTTATTGCAAGGAGTTGTCAAAGACAGCAGCTATATCCAAACTGACACCTATATGAATGTGAAACGCACAGTGATTTTTATTTTTATTTTTCTCGGCTGTGCCATCAATCTGACTATATTTATCTCCTAGATTTTGTGACATTAATCCAAAAAGACAAAAAAACACCAAATTAAAATCTTAGAATAACTTCGAACCAATAGCATATCCATTTTATTTTTAGAAAATCATTGTGTCTTTTCCTCGGCATAAATATTTTACACACATACTGTCAATTTTTATAGGCACAGCAGCCCAAGCAAACTGTTGTACTATGTTGGAGGCATTTTTAAGAATCGTTCTATTTTATCGGTTTAAGGAAAATTTTCTGCACTTTTTATTATGTAAAAGTGCAGTTTTTAGCTCCTCACATAATCCCAGAGTAATTTTAATTTTCAAATTTTAAATTACTGCATTTTAAAATACTGCTAAAAGCTGGGTGCTGATACTGTCATCTTATGCATTAGTTTGAGATACATTTTTTTTCAACCGTAATATGATACAAATAGTTTTTTCCCCAAAAGTAAGGTAGGTGATCTGCTCCTACAGACATTAGACTGACAGTCTTGAATTCCAATAATCCAATACGTCTGTATTTATTAACTTCCGGAGTTCAGACATGGATAGATCAGTCTTGACATCTTAACGCCTCAGGTCTTAAGGAGCAAATCATAGTTACTAGAAATCTCTTCTCTTGACATAAATATAAAGTGGCTAAACTAGACAATGAGAAATTGATAGCCAAAGAATGCAAAACCAGCCCCCCAAAATTTTTCAAGTACACCAATTCCAAAGAAGTAAGTACACTGGAAACAAAGATCTGTTAGCTAATAAAAACCAGAAAAGGGCAGAAATTATAAATAACTATTTTTCTTCAGTATATATTAATGAGGATCCTTTGGCAAGAGATATGCAAATGATTGCTGAAAAAAACTTGCAGATAACTTGTGATTGGATGACTTGAGACAAGGTGCTACAGCAGTTAAAGGATATGAATGTAAATAAAGCTCCGGGGCCTGACTGTATTCACCCACGAGTACTTAAGGAGCTAAGTGGGCAAATAAGTGAACCTCTGTATTTAATCTTTCAAGATTCTTTTGTTTCAGGTATTGTACAGATGTTGTTCCTACATTTAAAAAGGGATCAAATCTGTTGCGGAGCTGCAATTTTATAATCCCAGGATCTCTGCTGGTAGAATGCAATAACCAAGTACAAAGCTGGAAGCAGGCAATATTCCCAAATCCTCCCAAGAACCAGACGAAACACAGTCTGAGAGTCAACTGCCACTTTATTCAAAAAGACTGATATTTAAAGCAGGTCACTCAACTGTCACTTTATTCAAAATAACTGATATTTAAAGCAGGTCACTCAACAGGGGTTTCCAAAGATGGGCAGCAGGGGTTTTGGTTGAGGGGACTGGAGGGAGACTACCGTTTCCAGGTCCTCCTCCCAACAGCCCCTGCTGTAACATACAGTAATGAAAACTACGAGGACATAAACCGTTACCTTTCTCCTTCAAAATATACAACTTAGTCAGTTTTAATAGCAATGTTAACGAATGGGGAGGATTCGAACAGACATACACAGTACAGCATAAATTAAACATAGCCGGAGACGCCACACTATACCGGCGCGCAGTACACAACAGAAAATAGGCACAACCATTCTATCTTAGGCAGTCCCAAGTGGCTAGGTTTGCCACAATGCTCCCCCAAAACCAAGCCGGCATACACAGTCTGATCCCAACGGATCGGCTTGGGGATGTCCGGGGGAGTGCTCACAGATCATTTCTCAAGTTCTGTCTGTCTGGACAACCCATCGGCGTTACCATTCTGTTTTCCAGGGCGATAATGGATCGTGAAATCAAACGGCTGCAGCGCCAAACTCCAGCGCAACAGCCGGGCATTGTCTCCTGACACCCTGTGTAGCCAAACCAACGGGTTGTGATCTGTGAGCAAGGAGAATGGTTGTCCATACAAATAAGGTTGTAACTTTTTGAGGGCCCACACCACGGCCAGGCATTCCTTCTCGATGGCGGCGTAGCCTACTTCCCTTGGTAGTAATTTTCTGCTTAAGTAAGCTACGGGATGTTCTCCGCCATCAGCTCCCACTTGGCTCAGTACTGCCCCCAATCCAAACATGGAAGCGTCTGTGTGAACAAGAAATCGTTTAGTTGGATCAGGGGCAGTTAACACAGGAGCCTTAGTTAATGCAGTTTTTAGTTCATGGAATGCCTGTTCACACTCTGGGGCCCAGTTGACCTGTCGTGGCAAGTTTTTCTTGGTCAAGTCCGTCAGGGGTTTGGCCAGGGCGCTGTAATTGGGCACAAATTTTCTGTAGTAACCAGCGGTACCAAGGAACGCCAATACTTGTGTCTTTGTCCTGGGGGTAGGCCACTTAGCTACTGCCTCTATCTTGGCCGGTTCGGGCCTCTGCTGTCCGCATCCTACCCTGTGACCCAGGTACTGCACCTCTGCCATCCCTATGTGACACTTGCTAGGTTTTAGTGTCAGCCCTGCCTCTCCAATACGGTCAATGACCACACTAATATGTTTCAAATGATCTGCCCAGGTCTGGCTATAAATGGCTATATCATCTAAGTACGCACAGGCGTACTCTTGGAACCCGTCCAGTAGCCGATCTACCATCCTCTGAAAGGTAGCCGGAGCGTTTTTCATCCCGAAAGGCATGACCCGAAATTGATACAGGCCAAACGGGGTGACAAACGCCGACTTGGGGATGGCCTCCTCGGCTAGTGGAATCTGCCAGTATCCCTTACACAGATCAATGGTAGTGAGATACTGGCCTCTTGCCATCCTATCTAGCAGCTCGTCTATACGGGGCATCGGGTAGGCGTCAGACACTGTTTTGTCATTGAGCCTCCGGTAGTCTACACAAAACCGCGTGGTGCCATCCTTCTTGGGTACTAGCACTACCGGTGATGCCCAGGGGCTATCTGAATGTTCGATAACCCCTAACTGCAACATTTCCTCAATTTCTTTCCTCATGTGCTCCCTTACTGCTTCAGGGATACGATACGGAGTCTGTCTCATAGGGAGCTGTCCTGGGGTCTCTACTCGGTGGGTAGCTAACAGAGTGTACCCTGGTAAATTGGAGAAGGTAGCACCTTTTGCCGCAATCAACTCCTGTACCTGGGCACGCTCCTGGAGACTTAGCCGCTCCCCCAGCTGCACACCTGTAGCGTTTTCTGCAGAATCTTCCTTTTCTAACATGTCTGGCAAGGGCAGATTCTCATAATCCTCAGTGGCTGGGGCACAGATGGCTGCTACCTCCTCTATTCTCTGGTGATAGGGTTTGAGCATGTTCACATGGAGCATGCGTCGTTTCCCTACCCCAGAGCACGGGCTGATCACATAAGTGGTGTCACATCTCTGTTCTACCACTTGGTATGGGCCCTGCCAGGTGGCCTGTAGCTTGTCTGTGCGGACAGGTTTCAAAATTAGAACTTTCTGTCCCACCTGAAAGCTACGGTCTCTGGCTCCCCTATCGTACCACCGGCGCTGTCGCCGCTGAGCCGCCCGGAGGTTCTCCCGTACGGTTTGGGTTAGAGCCTCCAAGCGGTCCCGGAACTCCAGCACGTATGGCACAATGGGGACTCCATCTGCACTGCTCCCCCCCTCCCAATGTTCTCTAATTAAGTCTAGGGGTCCCCTCACCCTTCTCCCAAACAATAACTCAAACGGAGAGAAGCCGGTAGATTCCTGTGGCACTTCTCGGTACGCAAAAAGCAGATGGGGTAAAACCCTCTCCCAGTCTTTATGGGACTCCCCAAATGTCCTGAGCATCTGCTTCAAGGTACCGTTAAAGCGCTCACACAACCCATTGGACTGCGGGTGATAGGCAGAATTTACAATTGGCTTAATGCCACATAACTTCCATAGCTGGTGGGTCACTTCGGCTGTAAATTGGGTCCCCCTATCCGAAATTATCTCTTGGGGAAATCCCATCCTGGAAAATATCTTCATCATAGCTTCGGCTACCGTTTCTGCTTGTATATTGGAAAGGGCTATAGCCTCCGGGTACCGGGTGGCATAATCTACAATGGTCAGAATATACCGCTTGCCGGAAGGGCTAGGCTTGGACAGTGGTCCTACTATATCCACTGCTACTCTGCTAAAGGGTTCTTCAATAATGGGAAGGGGGCACAATTTCGCTTTGTGGCGGTCACCCCTTTTTCCCACTCTCTGACAAATGTCACATATCTGACAATACTGTCTCACATCTCTAGATATACCTGGCCAGAAAAATGCATGTGTCAATCTGTACCTCGTTCTTGTCATCCCTAAATGCCCAGACAGCGGAATATCGTGGGCAATTCTAAGCAGTTCCTGCTGGTATTTCTGGGGCACTATAAGCTGCTTATTAGTCACATGTACAGACCCCCCTACCACCCGCTCAGCAACACGATATAACAGATTTTTCTCCCATACATACTGTTCTCCCTCTAAACCTGTCTGACCAGCTGTCGCCTTATCCTTATAAATTTGCAACGTGGGATCGTTTTTAACCTCTGCCTCAAAGTCAGTCGGGGTATCCCAGGAAACACGGGTTACACGGGGTACATTGTCTCTTACCTGAGCCTCAGAGTGTGTGGAAGATGAAGCCGTGGTGCGAGCCTGCTGACGGGTGGTCACTGGATATGCCTCATGGCGAGGACTTTGGGGCACAAAAGCGGAAGTCATTTGCCCCAGGTCATTCCCCAAAACAACATCAGCTGGTAACTTGTGCATCAGCCCCACCTCCACCATACCTTCCCCCGCACCCCAATTCAGATGTACCTTGGCAGTTGGTAGCCGGTACATGGCACCCCCTGCTACCCGGACTGCTACCGATCCCCCGGTATGTGCTGATCCTGACACCAAATGCGGTGCAACCAAAGATAAGGTAGCGCCGGAATCACGTAGCCCCTGTACCTCTTTCCCTTCCAGAGTCACGGTCTGGCAATGTGGTTGTCGGTTGTCAGTAGCATGGATGGACATTACATCATGCAAAACGCCCAGGGGTTCATCAGCCGACTCAAGCGGCACTCCTGGCAAAGTTGGCTCTGCATGATAATAATGAGCAGCTGCCAGCGGGGCCATATTCTGCCGGAGCTGATTCCAGTTCTTGCGGCTCCGGTTTTGGGTGCACTCCCGGGCCATGTGCCCCCATTGCTTACAGGCATGGCACTGGATGTTGGACCTGCCATTATAACGGGAGTGGGGAGGTTGTCCCACAAGTGCTGGTCTGGATGGTGCTGTCGCTGGGGCAGGAGCAATAACTGGAAACGGTTGTGGGTTGGGTTTTGCATACCCTCGGTTATTATTTTTATGATGCCTCCTAGCATCATAATGTTGGTCGGCCAATCGTTAGGGTGTGAGGATTTCGGTCATTCACCCATTCTTGAGCCTCTGGTGCCAGGCCATTACAAAACTGCTCCAGTAGCAACATCTGGCATAACTCTTCCATGGTGGTAGCTCTGCTGGCTTGTATCCAGCCTTGTGAGGCTTGGTCAAGCTTGTGTGCCCACTCCGCATGTGAGTCTTTGTCCCCTTTTTTCAATTCTCGGAACTTGCGCCGGTATGCCTCTGGGGTAATGGCATACCTTTCTAATAGCGCTTGCTTTACCTTGTCATAATTCTTGCTGTCCTCTCTGGGTACAGCCCGGTAGGCGTCTGCTGCACGCCCAGACAGTTTGCCTGCCAACAAAGGTACTCACATAGCTTGCTCTACATCATGCAAGTCACACAATCTTTCAAAATCTTGCAAGAATCCATCTATTTCGTCTTTATCCTCGCAAAAAGTTTTAAATGCATGATGTGGTATTTTTGGCCTTCCCTGGCCTACAGTTGAAACAGCAGCGGTTTCTGCTTGAGGTGAGAAGGCTTGATTCCTTTGCGCCATCACGTACTCCTGTGCATCCGCCGAAATTATGGTCATAATTTCTGGAGATACTGGAGCGGGCCAAAATGCCAATCTTGTCCTCATTTCTCGTTCAAATGGGGTCTCCTCCATGTTTGCTGGGGTTGTAGCACTACGAGCTCGGTCTCCTTCCATTAGCTCGGCAATAAGTCTTGCTTTAGGCTTATTGCTGGCTATCTTACCCCTGGCTTCCAACAGCTCCTTTAACGTTTGCCG